TGAGGCCCTAGCTTAATGACTTCTCCCAGAGCTAATTGGAGCCAGGAGTAAGCCAACCTTGGCTCCAATCAGTGTGATGATATTGGATGTGTTGCTGACAGCTGTCCTGCCCTTAAAAAACACATACCTGTTTTGGGTTTACTGGTTTCAAGAAGCACTGTCTAATGTGAACCATGCCTCGCAGAAAAGAGCTCTCAGAAGACCTACGATCAAGAATTGTTGACTTGCATGAAGCTGGAAAGGGTTACAAAAGTATCTCCAAAAGCCTTGATGTTCATGTGTCCACGGTAAGACAGACTGTCTACAAATGGAGAAGGTTTAGCACTGTTGCTACTCTCCCTAGGCGTGGTCGTCCTGTAAAAATGACTGCAAGAGCACAGTGCAATAGATCATCAAACCAATTTTAATATTACACAATGATAACCTGAGTAAATACAAAATGCAGTTTTTAAATGATGATTTCATTTATTAAGGAAAAAAAGCCTTCCAGACCTGCCTGGCCCTATGTGAAAAAAAAGTAATTGCCCCCTAAACCTAATAATTTGCTGTGCCACGTTTGGCGGCAACAATTACAATCAAGCGTTTGCGATACCTGGCAATGAGTCTTTCACATTGATTCAGTCACATTGGAGGGTTTTCGAGCATGAACGGTTATCTAAGGTCATTCCACAGCATCTCAATCGGAATTTGACTAACCCAAGTGCGCTTGAGCTTGAGGTCAGGAACTGATGTCCGGACATTCTCCTTCAGGATCTTCTGGTAGTGCGCAGAATTCATCATTCCATCAATTATGGTAAGTCATCCAGGTCCTGATGCTGCAAAGCAGCCCCAGACCATCACACTACCACCATCATGTTTGACTGTTGGTATGATGTTCTTTTATGAAATGCTGTGTTAGTTTCACACTAGATCTAACAGGATGCACACCTTCCAAAAATTTCAACTTTTGTCTCATCAGCCCACAAAATATTTGCCCAAAAGTTTTAGCGATAATCAAGATGATTTTTGACAAATGTCAGAGGAGCCTTAGTGTTCTTTTTCGTCAGCAGTGGCTTTCACCTTGGAATTCTCCCATGGAGGCCATTTTTGCCCAGTCTCTTTTTCTTATTTTTGAATCATGAACACTGACCTCAGCTGAGGCAAGTGAGGCCTGCAGTTCTTTAGATATTGTTCTTGGTTTTTTTATGACCTCTTGGATGAGTTGTCATTGTGCTCTTGAAGTAATTTTGGGAGGCCAGCCACTCCTGGGAAGGTTCTTCTCTGTTCCAAATTTTCTCCATTTGTGGATAATGGCTCTCACCATCGTATGCCTTAGAAACCCTTTTGAGACTGATACATGACAATTACTTTGTCATCTGTTCTTGAATTTCTTTAGATCGCGGCATGATGTGTTGTTTTTAAGATCTTTTTAGTGTGCTTCACTTTATCAGACAGCTTCTAATTAAGTGATTCTTGATTCAACAGGTCTGGCAGTAATCAGGTCTGAGTGTGGCAAATGAAACTTAGCTTTCCAAAAAAATGTGGTTAATCATAGTTCATTCGTGATTTAGAGGGGGGGGGGATTGCTTTTTCACATAGGGCCAAGCAGGTTTGGATAGCTTTTTTCCCTTGATAAATGAAACAATTATTTAAAAACTGCATTTTGCATCTACTTGGGTTATCTTTGCGTAATATTAAAATTTTATGATCTGAATCATTTAAGTGAGACAAATACATGGAAAAAAAATCAGGAAGGGAGTAAATACTTTTTCACGGCACTGTATCTGAGTAGGGTTGTTCTACTTTGCCATGCTGTCAATCGCAACACCTGGGGAGGTGTGGTCAGCATTTACAGATTTAGTGGCAGAGGGTTCTCAGTGCTGACCATACTTAGAACCTTTCTCCTCAGCCTGTGTGATAGCACTGCCCTACACGGGATGACAACACTGCACTGATTTCATTTCACAGAAATCAGCATTGTCACCCTGCGAAGGAAGTAGCAAGGCACAAGGCAAATGTATAAGCAGTTCAGTAAGGCACCTTGCATCTCATAGAAGTAAACCAGGGGAGGCTTTTTCCATTCCTCCTGCTAGCTCCAGCAACCTCAAAGTGTGTGGACATAATCACAAGTACTAAGAAGATTATTTCGCCTCGTTCTTCATCTTCTTCAACTTTTTTACCCCAGAGGAACCCTTGAAATCATTTTAAGGTCTAGGTAAACCATTTCTAAAATCAATTCAGTGGGTGATGGTCAGTGGGAAGAATGCTTCTTACATTGGTGGTCAGTGGAAGGAATGTTGCTTACATTAGTAATGAGTGGGAAGAACGTCCCTTACATTGGTGGTCAGAGGGAAGAATGCTCCTTACATTGGTGGCCAGTGGGCAGAGAACTCCCTTACATTGGTGGACAGTGAGAAGAATGCTCCTTACATTGGTGGACAGTGGGAAGAATGTTCCTTACATTGGTGATCAGTGGGAAAAATTCTCCTTACATTGGTGGTCAGCGGGAAGAATGCCCCTTACATTGGTGATCAGTGGGAAGAATGCTCCTTACATTGGTGATCAGTGGGAAGAATGACCCTTACATTGGTGGTCAGTGGGAAGAACGCTCCTTACATTGGTGATCAGTGGGAAGAATTCTCCGTACATTGGTGGTCAGCGGGAAGAATGCCCCTTACATTGGTGATCAGTGGGAAGAATGCCCCTTACATTGGTGGCCAGTGGGAAGAATTCTCCATACATTGGTGACCAGTGGGAAGAATGCTCCTTGCATTGGTGGTCAGTGGGAAGAACGCTCTTTACATTGGTGGCCAGTGGAAAGAATACCCCTTTACATTGGTGGCCAGTGGGAAGAATGCTCCTTACATTGGTGATCAGTGGGAAGAATGTCCCTTACATTGGTGATCAGTGGGAAGAATGCTCCTTACATTGGTGGTCAGTGGGAAGAATGCTCCTTACATTGGTGGGCAGTGGGAAGAATGCTCCTTACATTGGTGATCAGTGGGAAGAATGCTCCTTACATTGGTGATCAGTGGGAAGAATGCTTATTACATTGGTGATCAATGGGAAGAATTCTCCTTACATTGGTGATCAGTGGGAAGAATTCTCCTTACATTGGTGATCAGTGGGAAGAATTCTCCTTACATTGGTATTAAGCGGAAAGAATGATCCCCACATTGGTGACATGGCTGCTACCCTTAAGCCTAGTATACACGATCAGAAAATGAGATAAAAAATGCTGTTTTCAAAGTGATTGAAATCTGATCGTTAGTACAAAGCTTTCATCTAAAATTATTAGAAGAGACAAGCACATACATTTTTTCCATAAAATACCAGATCATATGATTTTCATTTGATCATTACAGTATTCCTCCAAAATAAATTGGAGGAGCAAGAGCATGCATGCTCAGAAACAAAAGAATACAATACAACACATTACATCACTTCCGAAGTTGGATTCTGTCTTACAAGAATTTTCCTAACTTTAGTAACCTCTTCATTTTCCATGACTAGCATGCAAAAACAAGACGGACGATCATTCGTCTGATAGTCTCATGATGTGTACCAGGCTTTATAGTCAGCTGAAAAGATTAACTATGTAATGCTGCTGCATCTGCCAAGTGGTGTTGGCCTTGGAACCTACCAGTGGAAGGTCAGTCGGGTATAGCTCAAAGAACCCCTAGCAACCTGTGGAGGAACCCTGGTTGAGAATGGTTGCACCACAAGCAGCTGCTAGTTGAAGGAAGAAAAACCACCTCCAACCTTCCAAATTTTAGAAACCGCTCTAAAAACGACTTTTCCCCATGCAGGCCCTTATAAAAATTGACTTCCTACGGAGCTGCTAAAAATTGGTGTTATTGTTCAATAAAAAATTGTTTTGCGTGTGGCACGCCAACAGGTAAAGAGACACTAAAGACAGCAGGGAAAGCGCACTTCCCATTAATCACAGAGCGTTTATTAATGTCCTGTCAATGGTTAACAGTATCAGATCTCCTCCCAGTTCTCTATGTGAAAACAGTGGTGATTAACTACCAGATTAAACATCTTCATCAATATTTCATGGGCTGTTTTTGAAAGTTTTCCTGTCCTTTTACACTAATAGCCCCATTAAAACTTGTTTACAAGCCAGCAGTGAGAGTAACGCCGAGCACTTAAAAAAAAAAAAAAAAAAGGGAGAGTGCTTCCCCAGGAGGGGCCCGTCGAGCGCGCGAGCATAGGATCTGATCGATAGGCTTCTTAAAGTAAGTCTGTCTGCCTTAACCCAGTGGAAACAGACGCAAACAGCTGGCTGCGGCCCAATTTGTAATTAACAATGAACAAAACTCTAGGCCCCTGCCATGTATGGTGCAATATTCAGGATAATTCACAATATCACTTCCTATTACCTTGTAAAAGGGCTAAAAAAGCAGCAGCGAGATAATGACATTGTTTAACAAAGCATTGATCCTGGTCTGCAGACTGGGGGTGCCTGAGCCAATGCCAGAACGATGTTTTTGTTTTATTCACATTGTGCTGCGCACATGGTGGTTTTCTAGCATTTGGTATGCTTGGAGCCCCAGGGAATTATGGGCCTCTGGGGATTTTAATGTATCATATTAAATAACTCCAAGCAGTGGTATTAAATAACTCCAAGCGTATGCTCTAAACAAAAACAATTGCTGTGGTTTCTAATAGGAAAGCTATTTTTTTTTTTTTTTGCAATTTCCAAATCTGGGAAGGCTAATAATATGTAGACTAGCTGATAGCCTAACCACTTACCCAGGATAATTGTTTGTCTGTACTTACCTTATTTTAAAAGGTTTGCACTGAGAGACTATAGTGCAGCCTTTCCTAACCAACGTATCAGGAAACCCCAGTGGTAATCCAGAGGTTGGTAGGGGTTCCCCAAGCTGTAGCTAATTCACTTTCCATTTGATGGTGCCTGGATAGTTAAAGATCCAACAATACTTGGCAGAGCTAGCAACATTACACCAATGAAGTTTTTTAGCTATCTGTAAGGGTGGCATTCTTCAGACTGACACCAATATAAGGAGCATTCTTCTCAACGACTACTAATGTAAAGAGCATTCTTCCACTGACCCCCAATGTAAGAGGCAATCCCCCCACTGACCACTAATATAAGGAGTGTTCTTCCCACTGATCACCCATGTGAGGAACATTCTTCCCACTGACCACCAATATAAAGAGTGTTCTTCCCACTGACCACCAATGTAAGGGTATTCTTGCCACTGACTACTGAAGTAAAGGGCAATCTTCCTACTGACCACGAATGTAAGGAACATTCTTCCCACTGGCCACCAATATAAGGAATGTTCTTCCCACTGACCACCAATGTAAGGGACATTTTTCCCAATGACTGCTGATGTAGAGGGTGATCTTCCCACTGATCATGAATATAAGGGGCATTCTTCCCACTGATCATGAATATAAGGGGCATTCTTCCCACTGACCTTCAATGTAAGGAACATTCTTCCCACTGACCACCAATATAAGGAATGTTCTTCCCACTGGCCACCAATGTAAGGAGCATTATTCCCACTGGCCACTGGAGTCCACCATGGCCACAGCTACCAATAGAAATAAATGCGGCCATGGCGGTGATGCACAATATGAAGATGAGATCTTATCACAGGAAACATTGCTGAATCAGGATGTTATGTATTATCCAGCTGCACTTATGGGGGCGGGAGGAATCACTATAAATGAAATTATTATTTGAAAGGAATGTGCTCTGCTTTTGTTCATACTTTATTATGCTAAGGCCTAAAGGAAATTTACATTTTAACATACTTCTTTTTTCCTTGTACTGCATATACATAGTTTATGTTCAGCATCGGAAGAGGTCCAGCAGTGCCATCAGCACAGAACTGGCAAAAACCAGTGGGCCCCAAGTATACCCATCTACTGTCTGGAGACGTCTGGCCAGAAGTGGTCTTCGTGGATAAATTGCATCCAAAAAGCCATACCTCTGACATGGAAAAAAGGCTAAGACTGGCCATACACTATACAATTTTCTGGCCAATTTCTGCCCAATTTCCCTTAGATTTACCTTCAACCTTGTAGTGCAAGGGCCTGTCTAATTGGATACAATTGAAAGAGTTGTTTATGTTTGACCTCATATTATATGGTTTTTGGTCAATCTACAGCAAAATTCTCAAGAAAATTGTATAATGTAGGGCCAGCCTTAGTGACCCAGCTATGCACAAAAACAACCGGGGTGCAGAAAAATGGCAGCAGGTGCTCTGGACTGATGAGTCAAAATTTTTAAATATTTGTATATTCCTGTAGCAGGAGGTAGTTTGTTGGCTGAAGTGCTGGAGAGTGGTACAATAAATGAGTGTCTGCAGCCAACTGTGAAGCATGGTGGAGGTTCCTTGCAGGTTTGGAGCTTAATTTCTGCAAATAGAGTTGGAGATTTTGTCAGGATCATTATATTCCTGTAGCAGGAGGTAGTTTGTTGGCTGAAGGGCTGGAGAGCGGTACAATAATGATTGTCTGCAGCCAACTGTGAAGCATGGTGTAGGTTCCTTGCAGGTTTGGGGCTTAATTTCTGCAAATAGAGTTGGAGATTTAGTCAGGATCATTATATTCCTGCAGCAGAAAGTAGTTTGTTGACTGAAGGGCTGGAGAGTGGTACAGTAATGAGTGTTTGCAGCCAACTGTGAAGCATGGTGTAGGTTCCTTGCACGTTTGGGGCTTAATTTCTGCAAATAGAGTTGGAGATTTGGTCACGATCATTATATTCCTGTAGTAGGAAGTAGTTTGTTGACTGAAGGGCTGGAGAGTGGTACAATAATGAGTGTTTGAAGCCAACTGTGAAGCATGGTGTAGGTTCCTTGCACGTTTGGGGCTTAATTTCTGCAAATAGAGTTGGAGATTTAGTCAGGATCATTATATTCCTGTAGCAGGAAGTTAGTTTGTTGACTGAAGGGTGGAGGATCCTTGGGTTTGGGGCTTAGAGTGTTGGTACAATAATGAATGTCTGCAGCCAACTGTGAAGCATGGTGGAGGTTCCTTGCAGGTTTGGGGCTTAATTTCTGCAAATTGTGTTGGAGATTTGGTCAGGATCATTATATTCCTGTAGCAGGAGGTAGTTTTTTGGCTGAAGGGCTGGAGTGTGGTACAATGAGTGTCGGCAGCCAACTGTGAAGCATGGTGGAGGTTCCTTGCAAGTTTGGAGCTTCATTTTTGCAAATAGAGTTGGAGATTTGGTCAGGATCATTGCTGAGAAATACAAGCAGACATTATCCATCATGGCTTACCATCAGGGAGGCGTGTGATTGGCCCCAAATTTATTCTGCAGCAGGACATCCACCCCAAACATACAGCCAATGTCATTAAGAACTATCTTCAGTGTAAAGAAGAACAAGGAGTGCTGAAAGTGAAGGTTTGGCCCCCACAGAGCCCTGATCTCAACACCATGGTGTCTGTCTGGGATTACATGAAGAGGCAGAAGGATCCGAGGCAGCCTTGATCCACAGAAGATATGAGGTTAGTTCTTCAAGATGTTTGGGACAACCTACCTGCCGAGTTTCTGCAAAAACGGAGTGCAAGTCTATCTAGAAGAATCGAAGAATTGCTGCTGTTTTGAAGGCCAAGGGTGGGTTTCCCTTCTGTTCATTTACTTTCCATTTTGTTAATTGATAAAAATAAACGATTAACAATTCTATTTCTAAAGGAAAATTCTTCATTTCCAGCATTTTTTTGTCAAGCCTGCCTATAACTTTTGCACAGCGTTGTATTTTAACATTGTACAAATATTGGACATAATGTTTTATACAAATTGTTTTTCTGTGCAGTGAATAGCCCGATGGGACTCTGGTGCAGCTCTGCATAACAACCAATCAGCTTTCAGGGTTTTTTTGTGTGAAAGCGTAATTGAACAAGCTGAAGTTAGAAGCTGATTGGCTACCATGCAGTGCTGAACTGTGTTTTCTTCAAGATCCCTCATAAAGAAAAAAAATGGAAAGAAAAATTGAGAAATTATGCTCCCATCGCCAGGGCTGTCTAAATAGCATCATGGGCCCCTGGGCAAAGTAATGCGCTGGGGCCCCTACCAGCCTGCCTCCATTTACAAACCTACTCTCTTATAAATAGCTGAGAGAATGAAACATATAGTTTAAACAATAAGAAAACATGTCATAAATCAAAGACTAATCAACACAAAGGGCACAGTATGGGGGGGCAAGGGCACAGTATGGGGGGGCAGAAGGGCACAGTATGGGGGGGGGGGGGGGCAGAAGGGCACAGTATGGGGGGGGAGAGGCAGAAGAGCACAGTATGGGGGGGCAGAAGGGCACAGCACAGGGGGAGTCAGTCCCAAAGGGCACAGTATGGGGGGAGGCAGAAGAGCACAGTATGGGGGGGGAGGCAGAAGGGCACAGTATGGGGTGGCAGAAGGGCACAGCACGGGGGAGTCAATCCCAAAGGGCATAGTATGGGGGGGAGGCAGAAGGGCACAGTATGGGGGGGCAGAAAGGGCACAGTATGGGGGGGATAGGCAGAAGGGCACAGTATGGGCGGGAGGCAGAAGGGCACAGTATGGGGGGGAGAGGCAGAAGGGCACAGTATGGGGGGAGAGGCAGAAGAGCACAGTATGGGGGGGCAGAAGGGCACAGCACAGGGGGAGTCAGTCCCAAAGGGCACAGTATGGGGGGAGGCAGAAGGGCACAGTATGGGGGGGAGGCAGAAGGGCACAGTATGGGGGGGCAGAAGGGAACAGCATGGGGGAGTCAATCCCAAAGGGCACAGTATGGGGGGGAGGCAGAAGGGCACAGTATGGGGGGGCAGAAGGGCACAGTATGGGGGGGGGCAGAAGGGCACAGTATGGGCGGGAGGCAGAAGGGGCACAGTATGGGGGGGAGAGGCAGAAGGGCACATCACAGGGGGAGTCAGTCCCAAACGGCACAGTATGGGGGGAGGCAGAAGGGCACAGTATGGGGGAGCAGGCAGAAGGGCACAGTATGAGGGGGTAGAAGGGCACAGCACAGGGGGAGTCAGTCCCAAAGGGCACAATACTGGGATCAGGAGGACACGGTGCAGGTTCTGGGAAGCTGCCTAGGCCATCCCAGGACAGCCCAGTAAAAAAAGTGACTGTCCCGGCAAATCCAGGACAGTTGGCAAGTATGATATAATTCAAGATTATCATGGGACCCCCATCCACCTTGGGCCCCTGGGAAGTGCTTAGGGGGGCCCATCATGCATTAAGACAGCCCTGCCCATTGCATGCAAATATAGATAACTTTGTTACAGAAACATTATATGGCCAAATCTGAATTATCTGGACAGCTAGACATGTGCAGACTGAAAAAATGTGTTTCATTTCAGATCGATTCATTTAAGTTAGTAATTTTATTTTGTTTATTCGATTTCGACCAGATTCAAATTTTACCAATGGATTCAAATTAGTTGAATAGAATTCGAATAGAATATACTGAATCGATCCAAATGCATTGTAAAGAACGGCTGGTTCTATCCTGTTTGAAATTTGACTTTCAGAAGACGGTTCTATTCTTTCTACTCTATTCCTTTTATTCCTTTTATTCGTATGACTGAAGCCGTGTAGGCTGAAACGTGTGAACTGTCTGTTGCTGTAACTTTTATACTGTGGATTACTGAATAAAGATGTTTTTGTAGCTATGTCGGTTGTGCAGATCACGTTTATGGACAATTCTTTTTATTCTATACTATTCTTTTATTTTCAGTCTTTTTCTATTCTTTTATTTTACGTATATTCTATTCTATTCTCTTATTTTATATTCTATTCTATGTTACTATGTTACTCTTTTCTATTCTATTCTTTTATTTTCTGTTCTGTTTTACTCTATTCTTTTCTATTCAATTCTATTCTTTTCTATGATATTCCTTTTTTTTCTATTTTATTTTATTCTATTCTTTTATTTTCTATTCTGTTCTGTTTTTCTCTATTCTAGTCTTATTTTTATTATATTCTATTAATTTATTTTATTTTCTATTATATTCTTTTTTATTCTTTTCTACTCTATTCTGTTTTATTCTATTTTATTTTTTTCAAAATACGAATTTCAGAAGACGGCTATACAAAGCCTTGAAAAAGTATTCATACCCCTTGAAATTTTAAATGTTACAACCAAAAATGTAAATGTCTTTTATTGGGATTTTATGTGATAGACCAACACAAAGTGGCATATAATTGTGAAGTGGAAGGAAAATGAGAAATGGTTTTCAAACATTTTTACAAATAAATCTGTGAAAAGTGTGGCATGCATTTGTATTCAGCCCCCTTTACTCTGATACCCCTAATAATAATCTAGTGGAACAAATTGCCTTCAGAAGTCACCTAATTAGTAAATAGAGTCCACCTGTGTGTAATGTAATCTCAGTATAAATACAGCTGTTCTGTGAAGCCCTCAGAGGTTTGTTAGAGAACATTGGTAAACAAACAGCATCATGAAGGCCAAGGAACACACCAGACAGGTCAGGGATAAAGTTGTGGAGAAGTTTAAAGCAGGGTTTAAGTTATAAAGAAATATCTCAAGCTTGGAACATCTCAGAGAGCACTGTTCAATCCATCATCCGAAAATGGAAAGAGTATGGCACAACTGCAAACCTACCAAGACATGGCCGTCCACCTAAACTGACAGTCCGTGCAAGGACAGCATTCATCAGAGAAGCAGCCAAGAGGCCCATGGGAACTCTGGAGGAGCTGCAGAGATCCACAGCTCAGGTGGGAGAATCTGTCCACAGGACAACTATTAGTTGTGCACTCCACAAATCTGGCATTTTCCTTTTACCTAACAATTATGTGCCACTTTGTGTTGGTCTATCACATAAAATTCCAATAAAATACATTTATGGTTTTGGTTGTAACATGACATAATGTGGAAAATTTCAAGGGGTATGAATACTTTTTCAAAGCAATGTATTCTTTCTATTCTATTTCTATTCAAATATATTGTATTCATCTATTTTTTATTCTATTCTTTTAAATACTATTCTCTTTTATTCTATTCTATACTTTTTGAAATTCAAATTTCAGAAGACGGCTATATATTGACACAGAGGGCCAGTTCACAGTACATGTGCAGTGCTTTTTTCTTTTTTTCTCAAAGTATGGAAAGCAGGTTGTATGGGTTCCAATGGTGTAGTTCACACCAGCGCAGTGCATTCCAGTGCTTTTCAGTTCCAGAAAAAAAGTGCAACATGCTGCTTTTTTCTTGCAAAGAACTGAACTGGAATGCAGTAAAAAACATAGAAAATGCAACAGACCCCCAGTACAGTAGGAAAAAAAAAACTGAAAAAAAGAAGAAGAAACTCGGGAATGCACCCGAAAATGGATCAAAAAAGCGTATGCAGAAAAGCATCTGGAACAGATCTGGACATCTTTTTTTGTGGTTTGAATTGGCCCTAATACCACTAAGCAACTTATTCCCTCCCTTGTTCTATCTCGCCTTTGACTATTGTAACTCCCTCCTCATTGGCCGACCTCATCGCAGGCTATCCCCTCTTCAGTCTATCATGAATGCTGCTGCCAGACTCATCCACCTTACTAACCGTTCTGTATCAGCCATCCCTCTCTGCCAATCCCCCCACTGGCCTCCACTCAGTGTCCTCCATCCCTCTCTGCCAATCCCTCCACTGGCCTCCACTCAGTGTCCTCCACCCCTCTCTGCCAATCCCTCCACTGGCCTCCACTCAGTGTCCTCCACCCCCCTCTGCCAATCCCTCTCACTGGCCTCCATTCAGTGACCTCCACCCCTCTCTGCCAATCCCTCCACTGGCCTCCACTCATGTCCTCCACCCCTCTCTGCCAATCCCTCCACTGGCCTCTACTCAGTGTCCTCCGCCCCTCTCTGCAAATCCCTTCACTGGCTTCCCGTTGCCCAACTGATAAAATTCAAAACATTAACAATAACATATAAAGCCATTTATAACTCTGCCCAAATTACATCACCGATCTTGTCTCTAAATATCACCCAAAACCGTCCTCTCCGCTCCTCGCAAGACCTCCTGCTCTCTAGCTACCTTGTCTCCTCCTCCCCCATGCTCCTCCCTGGGACTTCTCCAGAGCTTCCCCCATCCTCTGGAACTCTCTACCCCAATTTATCAGACTATTTGCCTACTCTGCTCACTTTTAGGCGATCTCTGAAAACCTCTCTCTTCAGGGAAGCCTATCCTGTCCTCAGCTAATAATGGAATCTTCTACTCCTCCTACCAGTCCATCCCCACAGTTATTACCATTTGTACCACTAGCCCCTCCCTCCTAGATTGTAAGCTCCAAGAAGCAGGGCCCTCCTATCCCTCTTGTATTGAACTGTATTGCTGCTGTATTGTCTCCCGTTATATTGTAAAGCGCTGAGAAAACTGTTGGCGCTATATAAATCCTGTATAATAATAATAATAATAATTACAAATAGGGGGAGATTTACTAAAATTGATGCAGTCAGAATCTGGTGCAGCTATGCATGGGAGCCAATCAGCTTACTTATTATTATTATTATTATTATTAAGGGAAGAGAGGGAAGCAGCATCCCGAGTCATACCAGAAACATGCTGAGAGTGAGGAAGGATAGACGCTGTTTTACTCAGCCATCACTCCGACCACCCCTGCCGACGCGTTTCGCCCTGCCCATTGGGGACTTGGTCACAGAGGCTAATCTTTGGCTCTTGTATGGAGTGTGGTTAGACACTTGCTTGTGAGGAAGGGTGGAAACCACTCTACTGATCCCCAGGAGTCAACCAGGAAGCGATGTGGGCTCTAGCTGGCCTGAGCCCTTGCTCCGGCCACACCCATTGACGTGTTTCTCCCCGCCCATCAGGGGCTTGGATGCAGAGGCTGCGGAAAACAGACAGCACGGAAGCTATATATAGCATCATTGGACGTGAAGGGAGGTAAGTGAGTACAGGTGAAGGGAATAATAATGATGATAAGAAATAAGAGATTATCAAAAAAGGCAAAGAGAAAAGAAGAAAAATGGAAAGAAGGATATATCTTTGATACGGTGTCCAAGGAAGAAATATATATAAATGGAAGGGGGAAAAATATGAATAAAAAAAGAAGAAACTATTAACGAAGAGAAAAAGGAGAAAGAAAAAAAAAAGAAAAATTAAAGATCAGAATTAAAAGAAAAAAATAATAAAAATACATAAACATACATGTAAGGTGCAGCTCATAGGACATATGAAGTAAATAATAAAGCAATAATGTGACAAAAATATATGAATTAAACTTACATGTATCTCAGTGCAATCAATGTGATAATAAACAAAAAAGTCCTTCCGATATAAATCTGTATATGAGCCCGGGTTCACACTGATGCGGCGTGGAATTCACAGCGTTTTCTGTGCGAATTCCGCACCGCATCAGAATCGCACCCCGTTCATGCAAACCACTGCGGGTGTGTATGTTAAGTTAACAACACCCCGATTTCGGTCCGCAAAACACAGTGCGATGTGCAGAATCGGATCGTATAGGTGTGAATACCAGTGCGATCCGATTCTAGTGCGGACCCAAAAAAGGGTCCTGCACGTTTTTGGTGTGGATGCGGCGTGATTAGAGCCATACAAAATACGCTCCACACACAAATCGCATGTGATTTGCGCAGGAATGTGGTGCGGTTCCTGTGCGAATCACATGCGATATACCGCACCGCATATATGTGAACCTGGGCTCGGTGATGTGATAGCAGTAATCACAGCAAATCGTGTTCGGTCCCACACAGTGCTCAGGAGTACAATGTGCAATCTGTCACCACTATGCACTCACCAGAGGGCTACTTGTTAGGTAGCAAATATAACAAGAGATCTGTATTATCCACTCTCTGACATCTGTAATGATGGTCCAGTAACAGGGGGTGGACTGACAACTCATGGGGTTCCCCTGGGCAATAGGGGATCATGGAGCCCCTGTGTCCTTGCCCAAACTCAAAAAAGCCTATGAAAAAGGTACCAGGGGCATCTCATGGGGCCCCCTACTGAGCCCGAGTTTCCAAATGGTCAGCCCGCCCCTGACCAGTAATATCCTAAAAGGAAATGCTCACCACACACAGCCCGGAAAATGGTGTATATAGTGTAGTATTTATTTAAAAATTATACATAAAAGCATTCCATGTGGAAAACAGTACAATCATTAAGTATGCCACATACCAAGATGACCACCGTTCCGAAGCACGGACCCGGCAGCGTGACGTCATCACGTAGGCTGGGTATATCGGAAAGATTTTTTTGTTTATTACCACATTGATTGCACTGAGATATATGTAAATTTAATTCATATATTTTTGTCACGTTATTGCTTTATTATTTACTTCATATGTCCTATGCGCTGCACCTTACCTGTATGTTTGTTTATTGAGATCTGTTGTCGCTATCTCTGATGCTAGCTGCGTCTAATTTTATAGCACTCGCCATTTTGAGATTGAATAACAATACATAAAAAAATATACATAGAAAATGAAAAAATAAATGTAAAGAGTAAAAGGGAGAATAAACAGAAGAGGATTAAAAATAAACTTTATTCACTCTGACGCTCAATGAACAGATGTCGAGTGTATGTATACGTAATGACTCCCAACGAAAATTTTTGAAAATATGGGAGACGTGGTTGACATATGCTTTTCCCACGCCCCCCGGCTAGTCTGGGTTTGTGACGCTGTATGGCAATGGCGTTCCCAGATCCCTGCTTCTGGTCTTGTTTTTTTCTTCCTTCTTTACTCTTTTTTCCTCTTTCTTTTTGTTTGATTATGTGAGGCAATAGATATTTGCCTTTGGCTGGTAATTTTTGTTGGTGTTATATCACTGGTTCTGTATTTTATGTGCTATTGATTGCCCCTGTGTGGGCGCGCCTCTTGCATTGTTGGCGTTACAATACTGATTTGTTTTGTTTTTTATGTAGCATTGATAGCACCTGCATGGGTGCGTCTTTTGCTCTAATCCTTCTTGTTAAATTGTTTACAAAAGTTCATAAAAACCACAAAATACGAAATACAAAAATAAACATTATTCAAAACACTGCACTGCTGATGATATTATATATAGCTTCCCTGCTGTCTGTTTTCCCCAGCCTCTGTGACCAAGCCCCCAATGGGCAGGGCGAAACATGTCATCGGGAGTGGCTGGAGTGACGGCTTAGGCCAGCTAGAGCCCACATCACTTGCTGGTTGACTCTTGGGTCTACCCTTCCTCACAAACAAGTGTCTAACCACACTCCATACAAGAGCCAAAGTTTAGCCTCTGTGACCAAGCCCCCGATGGGCAAGGTGAAACGCGTTGGCAGGAGTGACCGCTTAAGCCAGCTAGAGCCCACATCCCTTCCTGGTTGACTCCTGGGGATCGGTAGAGCAGTGTCCACCCTTCTTCACAAACAAGTGTCTAACCACACTCCATACAAGAGCCAAAGTTTAGCCTCTGTGACCAAGCCCCCCCGATGGGCAAGGTGAAACGCGTTGGCAGGAGTGACCGCTTAGGCCAGCTAGAGCCCACATCCCTTCCTGGTTGACTCCTGGGGATCGGTAGAGTAGCGTCCACCCTTCCTCACAAACAAGTGTCTAACCACACTCCATACAAGAGCCAAAGATTCGCCTCTGTGACCAAGCCCCCAATAGGCATGGTAAAACGCATCGGCGGGCGTGGCCAGAGTGACGGCTGAACCCAGATAGACCCCACATCCCTTCCTGTTGGCTCTTAGGGATCGGTAGAGTGGTTTCCACCCTTCCTCACAAACAAGTGTCTAACCACACTCCATACAAGAGCCAAAGATTAGCCGGAAAGGACTTCGCCTGAACATCAAGATGCGTAAGTAGGAGCTGTTACTTCTGAATTCCCACCAGCTAATTTAGGAGGTCGATGGCCTCCTCCAAGTGAAAAGAACAGTTTGCAAACATTGCTCACTTGTGCTGCATAAATAAAGCTTTCTTTTGTTTTATTTCAGCGCTCTTCAGCAAAGTCTTGTAAGGTTATGTAGAACACGGTGAAATTTCAAGAGCCGCAGCTGAAGCTTCTAGTCCCTGGATGGGTTTTAAATGAGAGTTTTTACACCAAAATGAAGCATAATGTAATTAGGTTTAGTGCCTGGGGAATTAACCCTATCGTTGCCGCACTGCCTTGAATTTTCTAGGCTGCTCTAGTAGAACATAAAAGGAGTAATTATCCATCTAGGTATATTGGTCATTCACACAGAAATTTGTTGGTTTATAATTTAGTGACACGGTCAGTTCCCAGCTCCTGGCTGCCCACATGGAAGAAAAATATATTTGAAATATATTTCAAAAATACTCTTCCCAAATATATTTCCATATATTTGAAATACTACAATTTTGGCCATATTCAATATATATATATATATATATATATATATATATATATATATATATATATGCATGTTAAAATTCATTTTTATTACAAAATATATGAAAAATATTTTTAAAAATACATTTCAAATATACTGTATGTCTTAAAAATACAAATCTACATTTTTGGAATGTATTTACAAGTATATGTAAAAATATTTGTTCAAATTATTTTTGTATATGTTCCCAGGGGAAAGCACAAGTACAGGTACGTTACGGGTCAGCAAGTGCATTGTGATGTTTTATGAACTGAAAAATTTGGATAATGTAATCACATATAATGATAAAAAGAACACATTGTGCAAGGGCACCTGTTAGTTTAACTTCTATCGTTGGGAAGATACTGGATAGCAGGGGTGGACTGACAACTCATGGGGCCCCCGGGCAATAGGGGATCATGGGGGATCACCTGTGTCCTTGCTCAAACTCAAAAAAGCCTATGAAAAAGGTACCAGGGGCATCTCATGGGGCCCCCTACTGACCCGAGTTTCCAAATGGTCAGTCCGCC